AGGAAGTGGGAGGGAGTGGAAGGGGCAGGGGCGGGGCTAGGACAGGGCGGGGCTAGGACAGGACGGGGGCGGGGCTAGGGCGGGGCTCCTCCCGTCCTCTTTTTTGATTGTTGAAATATGGTAACCCTAGCTATGTCTACACTGGCAATTGAACGACAAAACTTTTGTCTTTTAGAAAGCAACAGAGAGTCCTGTGGCACCTTTAAGACTAACAGATGTATTGGAGCATAAGCTTTCGTGGGTGAACACCCACTTCGTCAGACGCACGCGCATGTTAGTCTTAAAGGTTAGTCTTAAAGTCTGTTGCTTTTTACAGATCCAGACTAACACGGCTACCCCTCTGATATTTGTCTTTTAGAGGTGTTTAAACAAGAAACAACCCTGAAAGACAAAAGTTTTGCTGACGACAAGCACCAGTGTGAACAGCGCTTTGTTGGCAGAAGAGCAGACAAACAGCAGCTATACTGCACAACTTTTAGCAGCATGGCTGTAGCAACACAGCTGTGTCGCTAAAAGCTGTGTAGTTTAGACATAGTCTAAGGCTAATCAGAAAAGTAAACATAAATCATAGGACAAAGTTCAGGGAAGGGAAAGTGAGGAGAGATTATTGTCAATGGAGGAAGGAACAAAGGATTCCTGGAAATGGTGGGTTTTAAAGAGGGATTTGAAAGAGAAGAGAGGGCACTTGGCATCTTAGTTGGAGAACGTTCTAGCTACAAAAAATAGTGTGAATTACAATCCAGAGCAGAGAATGTGAGAGAGCTGAAGCTGAAAATATGAGATTTTAGGGCAACAACTACTTTTTGGAATAGAAACAGATTCCTAGTCTTCCTGTTCCCATTTCAGGGCTGTGCTTTGTGTGAAAGCAAACAAACAAAAACCCACACGCAATGAGGTTGCCGGAATGCTTTGAGTACTTTAAAAAAATATTTTGCTTAATGCTGCATCTCTGAACATATGTGGAACTGTTATTACATATCTTGCAGCTAAAAAATATAACTGTCTGCTTAGTGCTTTTATCTAATTGTCTAGTTCCCCATGTGGTACATTTTATTAGAGGTGTGCAACATGTTTATTTTTGTGTCCTATGTTTGGCAGGTTTAAATGGTGTTACAGGGAGCATTTGGGACTTCATAACTGGGAGTTTCTCTCCTAGTCCATCCCCAGTATTGAACAGTGGTACTATACCCTCAACAAACTCAAACACCAGTGGAAGTGAATTAGCTCACATTAGACAGGAACTTGATGATGCCAATCGAAAAATAAAACGATGGGAAGATTCTTGGGAACAAGTAAAGCAGGTACAGTAATGATGGTGACACTAAATTAAGGTTTGTTTCCTGAATAACTTCTAATAAAATCACCTTCTTATTGTCTTTATTTTTACCAAGGCATCTTTAATTGTAATTTGAATTTAGGGGTTTTATTCCACTTTACCAAATTTTTAATCCTGAATTCTGGCTTTTCATGTCTAAATTGTGCTGGAGGCATGAAGGAGACTGATCAATAGTAGCCAAGAGAGAGAGCCAACTTGTTACTTCTCTTAAATCATTCTGCTTTTATAGACAGACACAAACAGACAGAATGGCTTTATGGAACATGTTCAACAATTACCTCTGCTGCTGCTGTTTCAGCAACTGGTGGCATGTCTACCCTCCAATACCTGCTTCAGGATGTCAGTAGCATACAGGAATGAATCATAGAATATCAGGGTTGGAAGGGACCTCAGGAGGTCATCTAGTCCAACCCACTGCTCAAAGTAGGACCAATCCCCAACTAAATTATCCCAGCCAGGGCTTTGTCAAGCCTGACCTTAAAAACCTCTTAAGGAAGGAGATTCCACCACCTCCTTAGGTAACCCATTCCAGTGCTTCACCACCATCCTAGTGAAAACGTTTTTCCTAATATCCAACCTAAACCTCCCCCACTGCAACTTGAGACCATTACTCCTTGTTCTGTCATCTGGTACTACTGAGAACAGTCTAGATCCATCCTCTTTGGAACATCCTTTCAGGTAGTTGAAAGCAGCAATCAAATCCCCCCCCTCCTCCTTCTCTTCTGCAGACTAAATAATCCCAGTTCCCTCAGCCTCTCCTCATAAGTCATGTGCTCCAGCCCCCTAATCATTTTTGTTGCCCTCCACTGGACTCTTTTCAATTTTTCCACATCCTTCTTGTAGTGTGGGGCCCAAAACTGGACACAGTACTCCAGATGAGGCCTCACCAATGCCAAATAGAGGGGAACGATCATGTCCCTCAATCTGCTGGCAATGCTTCTACTTATACAGCCCAAAATGCCGTTAGCCTTCTTGGCAACAAGGGCACACCGTTGACTCATATCCAGCTTCTCGTCCACTGTAACCCCTAGGTCCTTTTCTGCAGAACTGCTGCCTAGCTGCTCGGTCCCTAGACTGTAGCATTGCATGGGATTCTTCCGTCCTAAGTGCAGGACTCTGCACTTGTCCTTGTTGAACCTTATCAGATTTCTTTTCGCCCAATCCTCTAATTTGTCTAGGTCCCTCTGTATCCTATTCCTACCCTCCAGCGTATCTACCACTCCTCCCAGTTTAGTGTCAGATTGGAGTGAGATTGGACACAACTAGTACATGGCTCGGGCTATGGGGCATAGCTGGACATTTTAGCACTCCGGATGCTAGTGTCAACATCTGCCTGGCTTCTGCACGGGTGCATTTGGGGGTGGGTAGTAAAGGGCTTTTTCTGTTCTTTTCCGTCTCCTGGCATATTTGCACTGGACACAACAGTTCTAACTTTTTCTGCTGTTGAAAGATAATAAATAGTTTTACTATACTGTATTTTGAGGTTTTTATTGTCTTTTGCCATCAAATTATGAACTGAATAATTCCTATTTTTATTTATATAGCTCCATAAATGTGCATAGAGACTTATAGACAAGTAGATATGGCATTCTTGCTTAACATCTAAGTTAAGACAAAAAGCAAAGGGAAGTGATAAACAATGGGTGGCGGGAGTAAGGGAAAGTGATGGGGACAGTAAGATCATATTGTAGCTGAAGGTAAGTATTGCATGTATCTTGAGGGCTTTTATAGTTACGCCTGTGTTCTTAGTTTACAAAATATTTTTATAACTTTCTGCAAATGTTTTTGTCCCAGGCATGTGATGCATGGCAGAAAGAGGCCCAAGAGGCAAAGGAACGTGCTAAAGTGGCAGATGCTGACAAAAAACTAGCTCTTCGGAAAAAAGAAGACTTAGAAAATAAATTAAAAAAGCTGCAGGAACAATTTGATATGTGTCTGTCCACTACAGTACTCCATATGAAAAGCTATGGCGATATAAAAAAGATACCATTACCAAAGCTTCATTCTTTACAAAACCAACTGCGTTTAGATTTAGAAACAGTAGATGGGGTAAGTGTGTCTGTACTGTGGATATTGTTAGTTAAAATAGGCAGTTTAACAGTATTATATAAGATTCTGATTCAGAGTTTCATTTCAAACTGATATAATGTTAAGTCTAAATACCATTTTGGTCTGAAATATGCCATAGTTTGAATTTCCCCAATAAATATTTTTTATTTTGGTGCTCAGCTGTGACAAGAGCGGCAAGCAACTTCAGATACCTTTCAGTGAGAAAAAACAGATTAAAACATGCTTTTAACTACAAAGCACTAAAGAGAAGCTATGTAAATAAAGAGCTTTAAATATCTGGAGAGTGTGTAGTGAAGTCTCCTATTTAGAAACTGACATCTCTGCATGCAGACTAGGGTGGAAGAGGTGAGGTGGGCAGCTAGCAATGGTAAAGTAAATATAAATTTTAAAACAGGAAATTGCTTTCCTTTCAAGTGGTGTATTATTATCTCCGAGGTTAGTTTAGTTCATTTCTGACCTCTCGTGGTATGATCTCATAATTGATCATGGGTACAAAATTAGAGGCTAATTTTTTTAAAGTTGGCCTCTATATGTAATCTGAAATTTAGCAATATGAAGATGGCCTAATCACAGATGACAATTACATTTTAAAGATGCAGTCTTTCTTCTGCAAGTCTGTGGTGACCTTCTACATGTCTGAGAAAACAGAACATAGCAACCTTTTTTTCAGACTGCTGTAACCAATTTTTCGTTTTCTACCATGTAACTAAAGAAGACTATTAAAGTTTCTGGATGAAATCCTCGGCTGAACAGAGGATATGGCAGCCAGAACACAATTTCAGACTTCCACTTAAAAAATTCTAAAGAAAATCTGATCAAAAGTTATATATATTTTTATGCCCTTTGACCTCTCTAACACTGAAATTTCTGAAGAACATGAATAAGAATTAGCCACTGTCTTCATGAATGACGACTCAAAAATCTGACAATAAAAGAAAATGTACTGGATATGGAGACGTAACCAGGCAAATTGGTTGAAACTATTGTAAAGAACAAAATTATCAGACACATAGATAAACATGACATGGGGAAGAGTCAGTACAACTTTTGGTGAGGCATGATTTTCCTTTACAATATATTAGAATTTTTTGAGGGTGTTGACAAGCGTGATTCAGTCTGTACTTGGACCTGTGCTGTTCATTGTATTCATAAATGATCTGGCAAACAGGATGAACAGTAAGGCGGCAAAATTTGCAGACAATACAAAATTACTCAAAATAGTTAAGTCCAAAGCTAACAGTGAAGTGTTGCAAAGGGATCTCACTAAACTGAGTAACCGGGCGACAAAATGGCAGGTGAAATTCAGTGTTGATAAGTGCAAAGTAATGCACATTGGAAACATAATCACAACTACGCATACAAAATGATGGGGTCTAAATTAGCTATTACCACTCAAGAAAGAGATCTTGGAGTCATCATGGATAGTTCTTTAAAAGCATCTGCTCATTGTGCAGCAGCAGTCAAAAAAAAAAAGCTAATAATGTTAGGAACCATTAGGAACGGGATAGATAATAAGTAAGGGTACAATTCTGTCACAGAGGTTACCTGGATTCCATGACTTTCTGGGATCTCCGTGACTTCTTTGCAGTGGCAGAGCTGGAGCAGCTGTCAGCCCCGTGGCAGCCAGAGCAGCGTCTGAAGGAGCGGATGGGATTGGGTCAGCCCCCTTGGGGCTGGAGCAGCTGCTGGAGGTCAGCCCCCGGCAGCACTCCAACTGTTAGTCCCTCCTCCCACTGGGTATTTTTAGTAAAAGTCACAGACAGGTTGTGGGCTTCTGTGAATTTTTGTTTATTGTCCGTAACCTGTCCCTGACTTTTTTATTAAAAATACATGTGACAGAATCTTAATCTTTATAATAAGACAGAAAATATCATAATGCCATTATATAAATTCATGGTATTCTGGAATACGGTCAGCAGTGCTGGTTGCCCCATCTCAAAAAAGATGTATGAGAACTGGAAAAAGGTACGGAGAAGGGCAACAAAAACAGTTATGGATATGGAACAGCTTCCATAGGAGGAAAGATTAAAAAGACTGGACTTGTTCATCTTGGAAAAGAAATGACTTAGGGGGGATATGATAGAGGTCTATAAAATCACAAATGGTATTGAGAAAGTGAATAAGGAAGTGTTTATTTACCCTTTCGTGTAACACAAGAATTAGGGGTCACCTGATTAAATTAATAGGCAGTGGACTTAAAACCAACATTATTCCCTGTCAACCTGTGGAACTCATTCCATGGGCTGTTGTGAAGGCCAAAAGCATAACTGGATTCAAAAATTTATTGAAGATGGGTCCATAAATGGCTGTTAGCCAACATGGACAGTAATGCAACTCTATGCTCCAAATGTCCCTAAACCTCCAATTGCCAGAGGCTGGGTCTGGATGACAGGAGATGGATCACTTGAAATTTCCCTGCTCTTTTCATTACCTCTGAAGCAGCTGGCACATGCCACTATCAGAGACAGGGTAGATGGGCCTTTGGTCTGACCAGTATGGCCATTCTTATGTTCTTAACCAAACACTAGCAAGGAGAAGACCAGATCAGCAAAACAAACTAGTGCTAGTAAAAAGGGGATAAGAAGGGTTTTGTTTACTTTGGGAACTTGTTTTGATGGCCTTGTATCAGACATCAGTGGAACCAGAGTTTCCAGAGAGCTTTGAGGAAGAAGAGGGTTATTCTTATAGACTACTCTCTCTGGGTTAGCAGTACTTGATAATTGAGAACAAAAGATTATAAACACAGTGGCTTATAAGCACACTCTTCACCAAGTTCAGCCTCACAGCTCATCTTCTTTGGATGATGATCTACAACTGGTAAAGTGAGAGGGAAGACAGTTGGAGTTACATAGAACAATTAGGTCAAAGATTTATTTTTTTATCCTTCTGCTGTGACAAACATTTATTTGCCAACATAATAGCTTCCCCAAAGTCTTGATCAGCAGATTTGTATTGCGTTGTGTATCTGGGGGGTCTCCATTCTGACTGATGCAAATTACATGCATTGTGAGGAAATTTGTCAGATTGAATTGTTGATATTCACAGTGGCAGACCAGTCTCTCAAAAGGACAAATGCTCAGTCTTCTCAGTTTTAGAGCTTGTCTTCATGTACAGCAATACAGTGTTAAGTATCAGAGGGGTAGCCGTGTTAGTCTGAATCTGTAAAAAGCAACAGAGGGTCCTGTGGCACCTTTAAGACTAACAGAAGTATTGGGAGCATAAGCTTTCGTGGGTAAGAACCTCACTTCTTCAGATGCAAGAAGTGAGGTTCTTACCCACAAAAGCTTATGCTCCCAATACTTCTGTTAGCAATACAGTGGTGCAGCTGTGCCACTCTAGCACTTTAGTGAAGATGCTCCTATGCCAAAGGGAGAGCTTCTCCCGTCAGCGTAGTTAATCCAAGTCCCCAGTAGGGACTTGGGGTGGTTAGGTCAGTATAACTATGTTGCTCAGGGCTGTGGATTTTTTGCACCCTTGAGCGACGTAGTAATACCGATATAAGTCTGTAGTGTAGACCTGGCCTGAGTTTCGGTTGGTATTATCCAGGTTTTGGTTGTGCTGGGAAAAATTTGAGCCACAGCTTGTTTTGCACTTGTGTCCTTCCTGAACACATTATTGCTTTATAGGCATTCTCAGTTCTGTTTACCATGTTCTGGTGCTTGAACTAGCTATTAATTGTACCAACAGAAAATTCTTAAGTGTTATTGAAGTAAGAATTTATCATCAAATAATATGGATACAGTAATCACTGTGAGACATTACACATTGGAATTTTTATTGAGAGCAATTTTCTTTCTACAGGTAATTTTCCAACTTCATTCAAAGAAGTGTGTTGTATGCCAAGAACATGACCGTAGTGTAATCCTGCAGCCATGTCAACATTATGTACTTTGTGAACACTGTGCAGCTAAACAACAGGAATGTCCTTGCTGCAAGACGAAAAAAAGAAATGGTGACGAAAAGTCATGGTACTTATAATCATGTTAATTAACTAGATATATTGTATGTTCTGGTATTTTATATAAGAATTATATCTGTAGTAATTAATCCATTTACTAGTGCTAGACTGATCTCCATTTTAACCTTATAAGATATTTTAGTTGTTTTTACTATAGGAAATGTGGTTTGGCTGCCTTTACATATTGAATTCTATTCATGAAGTTCTAAAGTTCCGTGGTTATTTCTTTCCCCACCTGGCCTTTTCAGTTTTCCACTTATATTCCTGGTGCACAAGCTACTCAGGTTCACTTACAGCATAATCACTTCTTACAGGTGTGTACTTGCAATGCATGAATGGGGGATTTATGTCCGTGCCTCCCATTAGCATTAATGTAAGACACTCATGTAAATACAATACTTGTTGATGGGAGGACCTTACCCCTCACCATGTTTATGGTGTGCTGTAATCCTTTGCCAGTATTTCTGAATCAGTCTAACACTACTGTTTACTTGGTTATTTGAAGAAATTTGATTCCTGTAAAAGCACTTTGCTAACTGTTTTTTGTTAGAGATTGTTATAAATTGCTTAACCTGCTTTCTAGGTTTTAATGTTTATTTTTTTAATATTTAGTATGAAGCTTTGTGTGTGTACTGTGAACTTAAAATATTTATATCAGTTTTACTGTTAAATCATATTATGATAGTATAGTATAGTTAAATTTCATTTTTGGCTTTAGTAGTTACTAAATGAACAGTTACGAGAACTTGCCTAGAATTTTTACAGTTTAAGTCAACTGCAGACTAATAGTATTTATAAGTATACTAGCAGAGAGTGACATTGAAAGAGACACATATGCGTAAATATTCAAATACTTTTTTTTTATTTTGTGAAACAAACCAGTTTTCTTAAACAACTGTGCATTCGCATATTGCCCCAAGTTGGATTTTTGTAGTCTTAATGAAAGCAATTGTATAACTCCTAATCTGTGTGATTACCTATCATGAATTGATATAATCCATAGCCACTTTTACCAAGTGCCTGTGCCTTGCACCCAATAAAATTGCAAAATACGTGAAGGAAACAGTTTGCAAACAATTTATACCACCTAATTCTGTACAGGACAATTGGATGATAATTAAAATTCTCAACTTTCTGTAATAGAATTTCAAAATAATACCTTGCAATGGACGAAAGATACTAGGTTTTGTTTTTACATAAATACAATACACCTTTTGGGTTTAGCGCTAAAATTATTTAAATATTTTATCAGACAATGGTGCTTTGTTGTAATGATTTTTTTTTAAAAAGTTGTTGTCCATATTTAATGCTGATGATTAGGAGTATGCAGTTTAGGAGAAGTTAATTATTGTATCTTAACACTGTATCTTGTTACTTTCCTTAAAGTTAACTATTCTTGTAGGGAAGAGTTACCTGTGGTGTTACTTCTCTTTCCTATTAAATACAGGTATGACACAGTACAGCTTACATTCAAATGACCTACCACTGTGTTACATAATGTGTATATTCCTATTAATTAATACATTAATGAACAAGAAGTGCATTCATATGACCAGCAAAGAGTTTAATTATTTCTGAAGTTTGTTCAGATGCATTGCAATAGAAACAAGATATATACTAAATTGTATTTATGATCTTGAAAAATATCTTTTGAGATTTGTATCAGTATTAAAGAATTCAGAGCCCAATCCAAAGCCCCTTAAAGTCAATGTGCTTTTATTGATTTATGCGGACTTTGGACTAGGCCTTGAGTTAGCAGAAACAAGCACATATGATTACATTTATTGTAATAATAAAATCTACAGAATAATCACTACCTTGTTCTATCAAACTGTGAGAACATGGAGATCTTTTGAGAATGACGGAGGGAAGATAAAACCCATGATGGATTTACATTTGGAACAGGAGCTCTTAAAAAGTAATTTACAAACACAATAGTCTGAAGATAATTGTAGAACATTTTTAAACAGGTTTTAAGGTTGAGTTTCATAATACGGTCTGATGCATTTTTCACATAATTTTTAACATTTTCTCTCAACATTGTATATTGAAATACTTTATTACTATAATTTCATTTTCAGCAGTATATTTCTCTCTCCTGAAAGATGATTTTCTGTTATCATAGAAGTCGAACCAGTTTAGATTTTTTTTAAGTGGTACTTTGAATCACTAAGCTTTGCTGTGAGTATTAATGGACTTCTACACTTGTGGAGTCTTTGCCAAAGACACTTTTTGAACATTAACAACGTTTTGGACTAAAATAAAGTGAGTAGGTAAGAATTTTTATCAGTGACCAAATTAGAAAGTGGTGTATAATAGAAATAAATTATTTTAAATGTTTTAAAACATGCAATTGATATCAGACAGTGGTTTATTACATCCATTATAGAATGTGCAACAACATTCTCTAGCTCTTTGCTAACATAGTTAATTAATATTCTTAGCAGATTTTAGTGAAATAAATCCAAATTAGATTGAAATGTGGCCATACGTGTCAATGTTCAGTTCATTACTTAAGAAATTTTGAAATATTTTTGTGCTACAGTAACTCCTCACTTAACGTTGTAGTTATGTTCCTGAAAAATGCAACTTTAAGTGAAACGATGTTGAACGAATCCAATTTTCCCAAAAGATTTAATGTAAATGCAGGGGGTTAGATTCCAAGGAAATTTTTTGGGGGCAGACAAAAGGCATTATATACTGTACAGTACTGTACTGTGGTTGGGAAGTCCCCCGGCTTATCCCACACAGGCACAGCCCGCTGCAGGCAAGGACGCTAGGAAGCACCTTCGCAGCAGCAGCTGTAGCTTACCCAGAGAAGAACAGGTGCCGACTTTGCTGGGAATACTCCAGGCCCGCCTCTTCCTGTCCCCGCTCCACTCCAGGCCCACCTCTTCCCACCCCTACTCCAACTCTTCTCTGGAGCACACCGCATCCCCGCTCCTTCCCACCCCCCCACCGAAAGTCCTAGGACTTTCTGGGAGGGAGGGGGAGAAACGGAGACACAACGCATCCCCGCTCCCCCCTCCCTCCCAGCGCTTCATGCTTAGGACTTTCTGAGGGGGGAGGAGGAGTGGAGACGCAGCGCTTCCCCACTCCTGCCCCTCCCTCCCAGAAAGTCCTAAGTGCCCCCAAACAGCTGTTTGGTGGTGGGGGAAGCGCTGGGAGGGAGGGGGAGGAGGCAGAGAAGAGGAACTTGTGCAATGCTCCCTTGTAAAGTCGCTGCTCTTCCAGCCAAACAACGTTATAAGGGAGCATTGCACAACTTTAAACGAGCATGTTCCCTAATTGAGCAGCGACTTAACTTTGAAACAATGTTAAGCGGGACGACGTTAAGTGAGAAGTTACTGTACTCTTGTCACAGTTTATAGTTCTTTATATACATTACTGTGCATTTGTGTATCATCCTAGGACCTTTTCTTTGGTCTTTTCTTTTTGTAATAATAGGAGGTTTTTTAAATCTCTAGCTGATACTTTTCAATTTACAAATGAGTTTTAACAGCAAGGGCAAAGTAAATTGTCACATTAACGTGCACAGTTTGCACATACTGTCTTTTTAGATTAAATCAACTAATTATTGGGGGGGGAATTCAATTTTTTAGCATTTGTATGTTACATAATTAATGTTGAGAATTATTACATCGCTGTGTATTGTTGTGGGGGAAAAAACGTAAATATATCCTGGAAGCAGCTGAGTTGGCTTTTGGACAGATCTAAATTTGAGTCTTGAAGGAAAAAGATAGACCAAAGAAATGTTACCTATGAGTGAAATTCCCAGAGTGAACAGCGTGTTGCTTGTTACCTTGTGGAAATATTGTTAGGTAGTTACATGAACTACATGTAGCATTCACATAAAAAATGCTATAATTATTTTCCAATAAGACCATTCCCTGAGGAATTATAAGCAAGGTCTTATTAACTTTTTACAGATTAACTTCAGTTACTTAAAAATTAAGAATTATTGGATACGCTTTTTTACAGTGATACTTTTAAATCCAGGATAATGAAATATATGCAGCATAAATTAGCAGTTGTACTTTAATGAAAAAATATTACAAGGGAAATATTTACATTTGTGAAGTTTTGTCCTAGTGATACAAACACTATGTAGATGCACTAAAAATATATTTGAGTAAGAATATAATAATGTAATTTGTTAGATGAGCAAATTATATAACGGTAAAATACACTCATTAGTTAGTTTCATTCTAGTATTTGAAAACAGTTTGACCAAGTTATCATGTAAATTTATGTAAAAGTATAATACTTTTATGTGAATGCCATTAACTTTTCATAATGGCCTGGGGTGTAGTAGATGAAAATTACAGTTTCTCAGGGTTTAAAGTCAAGAACTGTAATTTAACAGAACGTTTGCTAAATTCAGATAGATCCCAAGCTGCATCTTATGGGTTTGTTATTTAGTCTTTTTTGAATAGCAGATTATTAAAAACATCTGTTTTGTTATGTATTGCTATTCAGAATATCCTAGTGTTAAATATTAATAGTAATATTATTACTGTCACAATATATTTGTGTAACTGTGGTCAGCAAAAGACCTTAAATGGATGTGGAATTTTCACTTGTATTAATTTATGGAACCTATTAATGTTCTGAGTGCATAGACAGAATTGGTATTGTGAATGGAAATGTTCTTAACTGAGAAGGTATTTATAATGCATAATCATTTACTTGTAGTGAATTGTTAACACTTGTTAAAACTTTTTTACACTATAGCATTTATGCAATGGTTTACAGAATTCATGGAATTATTTTTATTATCGATATGAAATTAAAATTTTTGATCTTTATTGCTTAGCTTACTGTGTTTGTAGACAATTGAGGTTTGAGGCCTTTCATTTTATTGTAAAAGATGTATACATATGGTAACTGTGGGTTTATATTTCTAAACATATTGGAAAGATTTTACTTAGATCAATATTTCCAGGGATTCTGTATTGTGGAATCGTCTTCTTCTGGAATCAGGTCATGGCATTTCTAGCATTGTGATTGGACTTGCCTGTCTCCAAAGGAAACCCAGTACTTAATATTATCAAAATAACTGACTTAAATTATTGGAGATAATTTCGATTCCAGGATATTAGAGAGACAAGATGGGTGAGGTAATATCTTTTATTGGACCAGCTTCTTTTAGTGAGAGAGCTCACCCACCTTGTCTCTCTAAATTTTCCACTGTCACTTACCGTGAAACATAGCATTCCCAGATGCTATTTCCCATCAGCCATGGCGAGGCCTCTGGCACCATGAAAGAGAGTTCTTCATAGTTGTGTTACATTCCCCGTAATCTTACTGTTTAAATTTTGATAACTCTTTCTTACTTAAGTTAAGAGGTCACACACTTTGTAGCCTGTGTACACACCAGGGCTTCTTTTCATTTCTCCATTCCCATCCCCAATCCCAACAAGCTCCTTGGGTGCCACTCTCTTATCCCCCTTTTTGAGGGACTCCCTGCAATTCCTCACGATCTCTTCCCTGCCAACCAGTGTTGACAGGGCCAATTCAATCAGGGTGGATGTAGTCCACTCCCAATAACAGATGAGGTGGTGTCAATTCCAGGAGAGGTTAGGGTTTAGGGTTAGGGGTTAGGGTTAGGGTTGGGTTTAGGTTAGGGTTGGGGTTGGGGGTCAGGGCTGGGGTCAGGGTTTAGGGTTTAGGGTTAGGTTAGGGGTTAGGGTAGGGTTAGGGGTAGGTTAGGGGTTAGGGTTGGGTTAAGGGTTAGGGGTTAGGGTTAGGTTAGGGTGAGGGTTGGGTTAGGGTGAGGGTTTAGGGTTGGGTTAGGGGTAGGGGTTAGGGGTAGGTGTAGGGGGTAGGGGTTGGGTTTAGGGGTAGGGTTAGGGTTTAGGGTCAGGGTTTAGGGTGAGGGTGGAGGGTTGGGGTCAGGGTTTAGGGTTGGGGTCGGGGTCAGGGCCAGGGTTTGGGTTTAGGGTGAGGGGTAGGGTTGGGGTAGGGTTAGGGTCAGGTTAGGGTTTAGGGTTGGGTTAGGGTGAGGGGGTTGGGGTCGGGGGTCAGGGTCTAGGGTCTGGGTTAGGGTTAGGGGTTACGGGTAGGGTTAGGGTTGGGTTAGGGTGTAGGGTTAGGGTTTAGGGTGAGGGGTAGTGTTAGGGTTGGGGTTTAGAGGTTAGGGTTTAGGGTCAGGGGGTTAGGGTCAGGGGTTGGGTTAGGGTTAGGGTAGGTTAGGGTTAAGGTTTAGGGGGAGGGTTTAGGGGTGGGGTTAGGGTTGGGGTAGGGTTAGGGTCAGGGTGAGGGTAGGGTTAGGTTTAGGGTCAGGGTCAGGTTAGGGTTTTAGGGTGAGGGTAGGGGTTAGGGTTGGGTGAGGGTCAGGGTCAGGGTGTGAGGGTGAGGGTTAGGTTAGGGGTTGGGGTCGGGTCAGGGGTAGGGTTAGGGTTAAGGGTGGGGGTAAGGGTCTAGGGTAAGGGTAGGGGTTATGGTTAGGGTGAGGGTT